ACAACACGGCAACTTGAAAATACTGATACTACAGCTTAGTCCCCAAAACTCCCTTAGGGTGGAGAGGGTGGGTTTAAAAGAAACATTGAATTCATCACCTCCATCGTGAAACTATCAATATAACTTCATATCAAGGTGCACAGAAGAGTCCTTCAATGACACAAATCATACTGTATTCTAAGTAGCGGCTGTGTTGGGAATACTAATTGTACTTTCGTGCAATAAAGTGCACTACACGGATTATTTTTCCTTTATCCTTATTCCTGCAACTAATTCTTTCCCTTTTGCCACAAACTGCTGCCTCTCGGTGGCTATTGTTGCCGAGGACAGCTCGAAAGCTCTGAGTCAGAACATGTTGGGTTGAGCGGGCATATGAAGATTCCCTCTCCCGCACTTGGAAGGCTTTCAAATATTCATTCGATGTGGCTGCGTATATTCTGTCTGTGTTCTCTCACCTTGTTCTTGTCTTCCCCGATGATGGGGGTATGTGTCGGATGCCTTTAGCTGGTCGTTGTTATCGGAAATCTCCCCATGTCTTATTGTAGCCCCCACATTTTCATCCCATGTTGCTGTGCGATGATATGTGTAATAAGCCTGAAAGCTGGTAATACGAATGGCCACTTTGTTTTTAGGTGATAAGGTTTACACTCAGTGGGGCTTACCATAGGGTCTTCGCTAACATACCGTGCTTGTTCGATAAAATAATACCTCAGGACTTGTCCCCGAAGACCTTGCGAAAATTGAAGGAAAACATGTGGTAGGTTTCAGGAGGATTCTCTCAACGATTTTTGATGTGGACAGTAGATTCCTTCGCTTCGTCTCATCAGGGAACGCTGGAATATCTCCACTGTGTCTTGTTAGTAAAAAGCAATTTTTTGACTTTCCAAAGGGGCTGATGTTTCGGACTCCCGATAACTGATGGAAATGGTGGAGAACGATGCTTCCGGGCTATGCCGGCGCTCCCCGGATCGTCAAAAATCAGTAGATGTATCTCATGATTTTTTTCAATTTTTACATTCTTCTCTGGAACAACGAAATGTAGAGATTTTCTGTTGTTATCGATTTTATCACATGAATGCTAGTGTGTTATTTCTCGTGTATGTGTTATTATTCGATCACGTATAGGTACAGTTGTTGGCATTCTTTTACGAGCTGCTATGGTTTCTATGTTATCTCACATGAACAATGGTACAGTCTCCACACACTCCTTAAGGATCCGCTCGAAATGCTATTCCTCGACCCCAGTGCCCACCACCTCTCTGTTGGAGTACTACTTCACCGAATGGCGTTGCTACGATAGCTCTTTCTCAGCTCGAGCGTTACTACATGGTTGAGATAAGCTTCTGGTGCAGTTGTCTAGCTTTCATTGTAAGCTTCGTGGCAGACGAGTTGACTCTCTCTTCATTACTGTTGAGCCCCTCAGATGATCGAGACTGTTCGCAAGGACTTCCATCAAATGTTCTTTCACCATCTTATTACTATCAGTTTGATGATGGGCAGTTTCTGTGGGTTATTTCATCACCTTACTTGACGTCGAACAGTTCTCTTCAGATGTCCGCCATCATCGTATCGGTCTGATCGTTATCTTCCTCCACAACATCAGTGACGTCCCTCTCTACGTCGCAAAGTCGTTGAGCTATCTCGCTGAGAAATATGAGAGTAGCAACACCCTCAAATTCATTTAATCGATGGTCTTTTACTGGTAGGGTTGAAAAAGATAACGGATCTCGCCTTTGTGAACTTCGTCCTCGGCTTCTTTTTCTTGAGGCTCTATGTGTACCCCAGGATATGTGTCATTCCTGCCTGTACTTTTGGTACGAGTGATGTAGCAAAACGTTGTATTGAATTCACTTGGTATTTTCTCAGCTATTGTATACAAACGGCCGTTGAATGATTGTGTCCTGGCGTTATTTCTAGTGCTGTTGCAATGCCTACATATCCTTTGGGCTAGCATGATTATCAAGATGATTTTCAAGACGATCAAAAACCATACTGTTGTCGCGGTAATGGGTCCATGTTCATATCGCAAGGGATACTATCTACTTCAGGAAGGTGATATTCGCAGTGATGATGAAGAGATCCCGCCAAAGGGAAAGAAGCCCGTCGCTCACAAACGGAAAGTACAGTAATTACTGGCTTGCTGTATGACATCAATGAGTCACGGCAACCCACACGTGTAAGAAATGATTAATGCACCACAAGATATATTTTTCAATTGTTGATGAGATATGAGTTTTCTGTTGATCTAGTATATCAGTATTGTGTTCTACTCAGTGAAGGGCATGGGCAAGCCTACTACCGCTGAGAATTCGGTATCAGATTCCACATAGGAGGACATGAGATTAATTGATATAATACAGTTCCCAAATCACAATGTGAACGTCAAAAAGAAACCCGATAGAAGTAACATTAAATCGTATACGGCAGACCAAAATAGTAGACTTTAAATCGTATAGGGACAATCCGAAAACACAATTTCCGATTTCTCTACTTACCAAAAAGCATGTGGAACATACTCTAAGAACTGAACTGACTAACCACCCTTGAGCGTATTATTGCATTACACATTACCTCGGAATGGATTTGGGAGATAATACATTATAATTACGACAGATAAGTTATCTGCCGTAATTATAATGTATTGGAGATAGCCACACATGCGATTTGATATTCACGGTCTCCACTGCCCTAGTCCCTTTGAATTCGAACTGTCTACAGTGGTTCCCAGCTCGCTAAACTGTCTTCTTCATTGGCTAAGCTGGAACGGCAGGCGAGATACTCTCACTCTACTCATATTGGTTTGCTGACTCATGTAACAGCTCGGATTGTGTTGAAATTAGGGTAGCGCGGGTCACCAGTGCGGATGCACGATAGCCTGCTACAATTCCAACGGTGCATCTCTGTGGAGGTAGTTCCTCCTAGCAGTGTAAGAAAGTCGAGGTCCACTTGTTAATCCCTCAAGAATGGACAGAATAGAAGACGGGCGGTCCGACAAAAAGTCTGCGCGTTCACAATTTGACGTAATTCTTTGAATGAACAGAATATGATGATCTGTTGTCTAGCGTGACTAGGTGTATCATGCTATACCACATTCGGTTGCTGCTATCTCATAGGCCTATGCGATCATATTTCTTTCCGAAAAAAAGCGGGCCCAATTGAAAGGGTCCTTATTGAGGACTTCTTAATAACGAGTAATCCATGATTGAATTATCACGTCTCCCAGCTCTAAGGCTTCGATCGACTTCTTCATCGCTTCTCCCATTCTCGACCGCCTTTGTCCCAGCTGCTGCCGTCAGGAAGACCTCCGGCCTTGACTCCAGTTGCTAATTATCTGTTTATTGACAAGTAACCAATGGTGGGCCTTTTACCGCAACAGAGGCGGAAAATTCAAAAAGTTGCACCTGGCCGGCACTGCAACAAAACCCTAAGAGCATCAGGAAGCTGCATACCTTATGCAGCATAAGGGCCAAACAAAGTTGATTGAAGGCAAGACGTCGCTTCAAATCAGGTATCAATTGATATAAATGGTAAGGAATCTTCAACAATCCTCTGCCTAGCCTGTCCAGGAACGGACAGGAGAGGAGGTAGTGCCTAGCATTCCCCATCGGCGGCCCACAGTCACACTCTGGCGAGTTGACTACCCCATTGTTGGGGTTGTTTCACGGCACTGATGCTAGCTGCCGTAACTCTACCGCAGATCCACAAACGAGGGCGCAAATGAGAGGAGTCATTGACTGAGGTGCCCAGACTGGCCCTCTTTTCTGACCGACACTTGCGCAGTGACAGAGGACCAGCTTCTTGATACAGCCAGAGGGTTCTCACGGTTATTTTCGGCTCAGCAGACAATTCCCTCGTGGAGGTACCTTGGCTGCCAGCTTGTAAGCCCGTTCCCTGGCCTTGATAGAGCTGTGCCCAGGTACCCACTGAAACTGTCGGGGATTTCCGACAGAGACAGACCTATCTGCCTCGCCTGATCCCACCGGTTCGTGGACGCACGGGGGATGGTTACGGATTCTCAAGCCGTAACAAGGAAATAGGCGGGCGGTTATTCTCGAAACAGCGTTTCGGAGTGACTAGATTTACAATTTGAAACGATCGGCCGAGCGAATGCGATTCCTACCATCATGCATTAGCCGAACTCAATTTTGTCGAGTGGATTCGGACAACTCGTCTACATAACTCTTGGGGAGTAGTAGGTTTCATATCTATGACCCAGTACTTCTGGTCTTGCAGTAATGAGTGTTGTCGTCGCGATCACGGTCAACAGCTACGTCTTTTCGGAGAGTTCCTATCTATCATCTACCACGAGTTTGACTACTGTTCTATCTAGGTCCACTGCCACTCTAGAGTCTCATGATCGGAATGCATCTGGCAGCACTTTCCCGACTGTCGCCGATGGAACTACAAGCTCGTCTACTTCTAGAAAGCCTCTCTTGTTACGCACAAGCCCAGGGGAGTATGTGAGAGATCAGCCCCTTGCTGTAAATCAGTTTATAACAGCATCGACCACTGTGCTGGCCTCGAGCAGGCTTCTGGTAAGCAATACAACAAACACGACCACTCAGACTCTTGCTACAGTTTTTCCCCTACTATGGCGAGTTCGAGTCGATCTGAAGTGGCTTCGGTGAGACCATCGAACTCTGATACGATACCGTTCAGCAGCTCTCCGACCTCTCCAACTGTATTGCGCATATTTCCTACATCCGAACGGTCTACTGGTACCTCGGCTGCACCCCCGTTGGTGCAGCCCTTTTTCGCTCTCTTATCTGTGATAGGTGATCTACCAGGGAATCACACATCGCTGCATGCTTATTGGTTTCGCCATTTTTGTTCTCAGTATTCGCTATGGCAGCCTGTTGTTCAGAGTTCCTGTTTGTTGAAAGTCTACTGCCATCAGTGCTAGCTTCGTCTTGTATCGGTTATTCGGTGAATAATGTTCATTGTCAAATTGAGTATGTGTTTCGTTATCGACTTCCACTACACGATGAAGCCATGATTCTTCAGTTCCTTTTGACTGCTTCATAATGCACTTCTTTGTCCTCATTTGTCTGGCTGCCCTAGCCAATGCACAGACTTCCGAGGTTACTACCGCGACCACAACTGACGTGACTACTGCTGCAACGACTACCCTTGCTGATTCGACTACGGTTGCTGGTACGACCACGGTTGCTGGTACGACCACGGTTGCTGGTACGACCACGGTTGATGGAAGAACTCCCACGGTTGATGGAACAACTCCCACGGTTGCTGTTACGATATCCGCTGTAGTCACAACTGCGCTTCCTGTCACTGAGAATCAGGCTACGACTGTGCCCTCCACCACTGCTTCTGAAGTCACATCCACTCCCATTCAATCGACTACTGCATCGACTTCTTCCAGCTTCGCTACCAACATTGCCGTGAGTACGAGCACGCCTACCGTCGCCGCTGACGTTGCCACCACCAGTGCCGAAGCGGAGGTTCAGATAACTGCGGTGTCCACCACAGGTCTACGTAGCACAACGGTGGCATCCTCGACCACAGTGATTCAAACGACGACAACGTCACCCAACTCTGGAGCTTCGCGTTGTGCGGTGTTCATCAGCACAGTTGCTGTCCTCATGATCAGCTTCGTTTTGTAGACATATAAGTAACATTGGATAGTGTAGCTTCATCTTTGCCGCTGGAGAGCATGACTAAAGTATGGATAACATCCTAGGTGAATGTTATCACCCGTGCGTTTACCGATCTGATGTCGTGTTTGAAATTGGCCCTCGAGTCCTCAGCTGGATTCTATTCTGATATGATACATATCGCCATTCTTGCTGTCGCCACTTCACAATCGACTGCTACTGCTTCTCCCAGCGGTAGTTCTACAACAGTTGCGGTCGGCACTGCAAGCACTGTTGCAGTCTGATCCATTACGGCGAATGTTACTACTCAGGTTGTAGCCATCAAGACATCAGAGATTCTTCACGGAGAGTACCACTCTTGTTCCAAGAGAACAACCACTAGAAAATACCCTATATTCAGGGCAAAAACGGTCTATATAGAGAGGTGCCGTAGCCTGTCTATCCCAATTCTCTCTCCCGTGCCTCACAATGATCCAATTGAGTTTTTTATTGAGCGAATGGCAATGGTCTTATGGCATCGATGGTACGCCATCATTGTCATGCTGGGCTTGGCTAGAAAATTCTAGCGCATCGTTCCATACTTCCGTGTTGTCTCGGGGAATAGTGCTGATCCAGCTGCACAGTACCGAATCCTAGTGACTGGGACTCGCGCAACCGAGTCCCCAAGGAGATGAACTCGATAAACGCGCATAAAATTGTAAGACCAAAATCGTAACCTTTGAATGGCATAGGATTACTCAGTTATTTTAAGAGGGGTTATATACACGGCTGATAGCTCTACAATTGACCTACTCGTGTTAGTTTCTCGGAATGAAGCTTTATATAACTACAATTATCGAGAAATTGATGTGGCAATAAATGAAGTTCGTGAAGTGAGAGTTCGTGACCGTCAATACTATGAAAACCACCCAATAAAGACATTTGAGAAATAAAGATTAGTTCAGTACTCTGTTTTACAACGAACTAATCATTCATAGGCCACCAACGGCTGGATCGACTTCCGGAATTATTCTTCATACTATCAACTCAATAAAGAACCACTTGAGAACATTATCTCTTGGGGTATCCTTCCTCTCTGAAACATGATGCACAGAAAGCGTTCTTTGGAACCCTTTAGTCAATTACAAAACTAAGCCTGAGCAGTGGCAGCTTGGTGTGAAGTCGTAGTGGTAGTGGTAGTAGTTGGATGCACGTGAGTAGAGCTTACAACCTGAGGTTGCCCGTACTGGGGGAGCTGTATGTTGTAAGTACCGAAAGACGGTACTCCCGCGGAGGTACCTGGGTAACCACCACCACCACCACCATATGAGTAAGTCGTACCAGGAGCTCCAGATGAATAGGTTGTCGGCTGACCAGCGGTAGGAGCAGACGTCACGTACTGAACCGTCTGAGGGGGCACATAGGAGCCGGTCTGAGAGGTCACATACTGGGGAACGTATGAAGTTGTCTGAGCAGGAACGTAGGAAGCAGACTGGGCAGCCTGTTGTTGCTTCTGCTGCTCGGCGGCCTGTTGCTGCTGGAGTTTAGCCATCTTGTCAGCCATCTCCTTCTGAAGCTTCTGCTGTTGAGCTTGCATGCACAATTGACTAGCAGTGGCCTCAATCTGCATCCTCTGCTCTTGAGCTCTCTGCTCAATCTCCATTCGTCGCTGCTGATGCTGTTGCTCCAGAGCAAACAAAGCCTGAGCGCGAGATTGCTCAATGGCACTTGTGGTAGTTTGTAAATCATAGTTGGCCTTCATGTTGATCGACTGCTTAGCTTGCTCGAACTCATTCTTAGCCGAGTCCTTCGCCATACCTAATTGACTGTCAAGCATAGATAGACTCTGCGTCTTCTGGTGCTTGATGCTCTCAGGATCCATGTAGACTTGAGGAGCAAATTGCTGATTATCAGGCGGTACATACGAGGTAGACGTAGGATTCTGACCAACAGTGTAACTAGTCACTCCCTGCGGGGGAAGAGTAGAATAAGTGACACCGGCCTGGGGAGAGACAGAGTATGTGTTGACAGCCTGGGGATGCTGGACAGCAGGGGCAGCAGCAACTTCAGCGCTCATAAGAGTAAGATTAGAATTAAATTACTACCACCAAAATGTGATCTTCAGCGTATGGTAGAACAAGTATTAATGCTATGCTCGCCCGAACGTTTCATGACACGTTCGAAACGATGCTTGAATCAGCGCGCGCCCATGCCAGCGAAACTTTAAAGTCTATCCAACCATTTTCCCTGCCATCGACAGACCAGCGTCAGACGCTTCGCATACACCGCTGTTCGTAAACTCTACCCACTTTTGTTATATCTTCTATCGTTGTATCCTGCATCATTGAAGCTGTCCACAGTGGGAGATTTTACTTGATTCTGACAGCCAAGAGACTTTCGGACTCGAGAATATTGTCGCGCTGTAAGTAGCACTCGTCGAGTACTGAGGATGGTTGAGGATGGTTTAATATCCCATTTCGCATGACGTAGCACTCAGCTTGGGATAATTCCACATGCGAGACTATGGTGTCGAAGCTTCATAAGCACAGAAGTGGCACCCACCTCGGCGATCCGTAACGAATGCATCGCCGTATTGCTTCGAGAATGCGACATCCAGCTACACCGTAATTCCAAAACAAGCTTCGCGCTCGCAAAATCGTTAAACTCGTGGTGGTCGAGCAACGACTCCGACCTAGATGATACATCTGGAATCCTAGGACAACACAACGCTTCACCTTAGAAATCAGAGTTTTTATCGTCTATGGGTATCATGTTAAACGCTCAAATAATCTGTTTTATCTCTAAGAAGGATTGCATGTAGTGCAACTGTAAACACGCCAAGATCAAAACACTGCATAGCTGAGCTACCGCCCACCAAAGGACCCTCGAGTTCGTCGACTCCGCTGTATCTGTTATGAATATCGGAATAAAGTCGGATATCCGAAATCGCACGTGAACGACGAGTGTGGGACTTACTGCGGTGCACAGCTTCCCTTGCGACACTGTAACGCTGCTGATCCATGAGGGTATCGACCTACGCGCGCCACCATTAACCAGGAAACGCCAGGAAATTAATCTTGCATAGCACCTTGCCCTTCAACACCTCCACGAAGTTCTTCAGCTCATTGGTATGATCAGTGGTTGCCATCTGATCTCCTCCAAGGCTCTTGGTTTGACCACTTGATATCTGGAGACGAGAACAGCATGACTTCGGATGGCTGCTTATAGAGCTCAATTTCCCGCTAATAGAAAGCGGCTATATAGGGTATGATTGAGAACGTACTTGAACCGAACGGAGCTGAAGGATTCTATATATTTTTCAAGCCTCTATAGCTCAGTCGGTAGAGCGCGGCCCTTTTAAGGCCGTGGTCGC